CAGCACCTCCCTACACCAGTGCAGCACCTCCCTGCAGTGCAGCACCTCCCTAGTGCAGCACCTCCGTGAAGCACACCCCAGTGCAGCACCTCACCCAGTGCAGTGCAGCACCTCCATACACCAGTGAAGCACCTCCCACACCAGTGCAGCACCTCCTACACCAGTGCAGCACCTCCCTACCCCAGTGCAGCACCTCCCTACCTCAGTGCAGCACCTCCATACACCAGTGCAGCACCTCCCTACACCAGTGCAGCACCTCCCTACCTCAGTGCAGCACCTCCTACACCAGTGCAGCACCTCACCCCAGTGCAGCACCTCCCTACCCCAGTTTAGAAAGTAGCACTAAAGACAGACAAATGCAGGACGTGAGACAAAGATACAAGGCTGACAATGGTTACAGTGTTACGGGCGGTGGTAAGGTCACACACACACACACACACACACACACACACACACACACACACACACACACACACACACACACACACACACACACACACACACACACGTCACCTGGGCTACCACATCTCAGAAGGTAAAGAGGAAGAGAATAGGAAGGAAAGAGGGTAAGGAAAAAAGGAGGAACAGAAGGGGAGAGAAGGAAGGAAGGAGGGAGGAAGGGACAGAGAGAGGGACCAGAAGGGAAAGAAGGGAGGGAAGGAGAGAAAGAGGAGGGAGATAGGGGAAAAGGAAGGAGGAGAGGGAGGGAAGGAGGAGGAGGGAGGCGGGGAGAGGAAGGAGGGAGGCGGGGAGAGAAGGAAAGAGGGAGGGAGGTAGGGGGAGAAGGAAGGAAGGAAGGAAGGAAGGAAGGAAGGAAGGAAGGAAGGAAGGAAGGAGGGAGGGAGGGAGGGAGGGAGAGTTACCCGAGTGTCGACCAGCTTCACAATAACACGTTATCGAGCGTGGTGGCACGGCCTCCACCACCTACCTGCAACAACGACACAACAACACCCTTAATAATAACTCCAGGTAGCGGCTCTCTCTCTGTTGGAATCTCACCCACGGTCTCTCCAGCAAGATTAAAGCAGCAGTTTTACCACACCGCGTTAAGCTTGTCACACATACAGTTGTCTACTGTCCAGATGCTGAGACAAAGTGAAGCAGGTAATCTTATATTATTGTGAGGTACTGGAGGTGTGAAGTAGGTACTGTAGGTCTGAGTTATTGTAGCTACCGCCAACGAGCCTAAACTATTAATGGTCCGCCAACGAGCCTAAACAATTAACGTTCCGCCAACGAGACAAAAATATTAATGTTCCGCCAACGAGCCTAAACTATTAATGTTCCGCCAACGAGCCTAAACTATTAATGTTCCGCCAACGAGCCTAAACTATTAATGTTCCGCCAACGAGCCTAAACTATTAATGGTCCGCCAACGAGCCTAAACTATTAATGGTCCGCCAACGAGCCTAAACTATTAATGGTCCGCCAACGAGCCTAAACTATTAATGTTCCGCCAACGAGCCTAAACTACAGTATATAACCAACAGTAATAGATCATAACCTCCTTCATCTTCTTGACAAATGAAAACTAATTCCTCGCGCCTCGGCTTTATTTTCCAACTTTTTTGTAATAAAATTTACTAACTAATTTTTCATGTCAGCGTGATTTATTTTAATGTTCTCATTACTTTTAAAGCAAAAGAAAAATATTGTACTATTATTTATTCGTTGTATGTTTATATTTTTATCACTATTACGTATATTCTTATATATATTCAAAACAGATTTTTAATTTTATCTTATTAAATAGTGGAAATACCGAGTTTGAACTTCACCTAACCCAACCAACCTAACATAACTTAACCTAACCAAACTGGCCTAACCAACATAACTTAACCTAACCTCACCAAACTAGCCTAAACTAACCTAACTTAAGGTTACTTCACAAAGAACTAGGATCACATAAACAATATTCACAAACACAATAACGTCTTCACTATATACGATTATATTTTTCTGGTAAACTATAATGCAGTACATTAAATCACCTGCGGTAAACAGTGTCTACAACAAGTGGCCGCGAGAACCTTCATAACAAACAAGCCTCTTGTGTTATAGGTCCTGGTACAGTACAGTATAGTACAGGACAGTGCAGTACAGTTCAGTACAGTACAGTGCAGTACATTACAGTACAGCACAGTAGTCTCCCCTCCAGGATGTACAGCACACACAGCTGACAACACTGTTTACGGATGTTCAGATAAGTAGATGACAAATCCTGATGATTAGAGATAAACACGTGACAACTTTGGCGGGGCACAACACAACACAACATACAATGTGGACTTGAAGTGATAATTTATACATACGAGAAATAAAGTGTGTAAACAATTCATGGGTTCCTTGAGATCCACAAGTTAAGGGGTCAAGTGGTACCTGGGTGGATGATTAAGGTGTAGGGGGTCAAGTGGTACCTGGGTGGATGATTAAGGTGTAGGGGGTCAAGTGGTACCTGGGTGGATGATTAAGGTGTAGGGGGTCAAGTGGTACCTGGGTGGATGATTATGTAGGGGGTCATGGTACCTGGGTGTCAAGTGGGTGACCCTGGGTGAATGATTAAGGTGTAGGGGGTCAAGTGGTACCTGGGTGGATGATTAAGGTGTAGGGTCAAGTGGTACCTGGGTGGATGATTAAGGTGTAGGGGTCAAGTGGTACCTGGGTGGATGATTACAAGTGGTACCCTGGGTGGATGATTATGTAGGGGTCAAGTGGTACCTGGGTGATTATGTATGACCTGGGTGGATGATTAAGGTGTAGGGGGCACCTGGGTGAATGATTAAGGTGTAGGGGTCAAGTGGTACCTGGGTGATGATTAATGTACCTGGGTGGATGATTAAGGTGTAGGGGGTCAAGTGGTACCTGGGTGACCTGGTGGTACCTGGGTGGATGATGAAGGTGTAGGGGTCAAGTGGGGTGGATGATTATGTAGGGGTCAAGTGGTACCTGGGTGAATGATTAAGGGGTAAGGGTACCTGGTGGATGGTGTAGGGGCATGGTACCTGGGTGGATGATTATGTAGGGGTTGGTCCTGGGTGGATGATAAGGTGGGTAAGTGGTACCTGGTGGATGATGGTGTAGGGGGGTCAAGTGGTACCTGGGTGGATGATTAAGGTGTAGGAGGTCAAGTGGTACCTGGGTGGGGGACTAAGGTGTAGGGGGTCAAGTGGTACCTGGGTGGATGATTAAGGTGTAGGAGGTCAAGTGGTACCTGGGTGGATGATTAAGGTGTAGGAGGTCAAGTGGTACCTGGGTGGGGGACTAAGGTGTAGGGGGTCAAGTGGTACCTGGGTGGATGATTAAGGTGTAGGAGGTCAAGTGGTACCTGGGTGGGGGACTAAGGTGTAGGGGGGGGGGTCAAGTGGTAGGTTACTGAGGCTGGGCATAAAGGAGGAAGTTATCAAAGGAATCTGAGAAGGGATATGCAGCAAGTCAGGGTGAAGTGCTCTCTCTCTCTCTCTCTCATGTAAGTACATTAGTCAAGGCACCAACCGTGTAATTCGATTTACGTAATAATGAAAAAATATATATATTACAGTACACACACGAGGCACTGTACTTGACTGCCTTCATTTCTTAATTAAACTGAAGGCGATATTGACTGCTGGGGTAGCCCTGACGTGAACGAGCTAAGCTATAGGACAAGAGACTAATGCTCTACCCACTAGACCATCACCTCCTCTCCTCACACTGGTACAACAATAAGAAAAAAAATACATCTAAACCACAACAAAATAGGTAAAATTTTCTACATACTGATCGACATATAAACACAAATAACACAACATAACTCAACGAAATTTCACTATAAAACTCCTTGTTCCTGTCTGTCTAATCTGTCAAGCACTAGACCAGCATCCAGAGCTGAAGGGGGGAAAGTCTAAACCACCTTTCTCTCACACCTAATACACCTTTGTTTATACCACAGCCACACCATACTACCACAGTCACACCATGTTACCAGTCACACCATGTTATCACAGTCACACTATGTTACCAGTCACACCATGTTACCACAGCCACACCTATTACCCCAGTCACGCCACGTTATCACAGCCACACCATGTTACCAGTCACACCACGTTACCAGTTACACTATGTTACCCCAGTCACACCATTTTACCACAACCACATCATATTACCCCAGCCACACCATGTTACCCGTTACACCAAATAACCCCGGTCACACCATGGTACCACCACCACACCATGCTACCACAGCCACACCATGTTATCCCAGTCACACCATGTTACCACAGCCACACCATGCTACCACAGTCACAAGCACATGTTAGAGTGAACCACTAAAACAAACAAAGGTGACCATCGTGTGTTAGAATCGTCCATTTTGACAGAAAGACAGAGACAAACAGCAGTTACCTTGCCATGTCTTTCAGCAGCAAATGAGATTCCCACATCACGGCCTACCTGTGTGTGTGTGCGCGCGTGTGTGGGGGGGTGTATGGTATGGTAGGTGTGTGTGGGTGTATGGTAGGTGTGTGGTGTGTATGGTATGGTAGGTGTGTGTGGGTGTATGGTAGTGTGTGGGTGTATGGTAGGTGTGTGTGTATGGTATGGTTGGTGTGTGGGTGTATGGTGTTGGTGTGGGTGTATGGTATGGTAGGTGTGTGTGGGTGTATGGTAGGTGTGTGGGTGTATGGTATGGTTGGTGTGTGGGTGTATGGTGGTGTGTGGGTGTATGGTGGCGGTTGGTGGGGTGTATGGTAGGTGTGTGTGTGTGGGTGTATGGTGTGTGTGTGTGGGTGGTAGGTGTGTGTGGTGTATGGTAGGTGTGTGGGTGTATGGTATGGTTGGTGTGTGTGGGTGTATGGTAAGCGGGTGTGGGTGTATGGTATGGTAGGTGTGTGTGTGGGTGTATGGTAGGTGGGTGTATGGTATGGTAGGTGTGTGTGTGGGTGTATGGTAGGTGGGTGTATGGTATGGTAGGTGGGTGTATGGTAGGTGTGAGGGCAGGAGAGCTTCACGGTCAGTGTACGTACCTCACAGGCCGACATATACAGTAGCAGAAGCTGACCACCACACACAAATGCACACACACCCGACCGTCTCACAGGGTTCCGTCAGCGGCACTAGTAGGGCAGGGTAGGTAGGTGCGCTGCGTCGCCTAGATTGAAAGCGGTTTCCCCTCTCGCAGCAGCAGCCCGGAGGAAACCTGGCTCACACACACACACACACACTCTCTCTCTTTTGCTCTCTACACCACCCAACGTAAATGTCAAGGGTGAAACGCGGGTCGGCTAGCTGGGCCGCCCCTCACAAAGCCACAAGGGAAGAGGGGACTTGGGGGGAGGGAGGAGGGAAGGGAGAAAGGGAGAGGAGGGGGTGCATAGGGTAGTCATGTCTCTGTTATATGGTCGAGGTACAACACAAATCTTAACCTAAATCGTCTCCAATAGTCAACCCAAGCTCATCCTTCATCACCACGCATGTTTCCAGGAGGGAGGGAGAGACGGGAGGGAGGGAGAGACGGAAGGACAGTGGAAGGGACGGAGAGACGGACGATGGGTGGGAAGGACGGTGGGTGGAGGCAGGGGGAATGGTGGTGAGGAGGAGGAACCAGAGGACAGACAGAAAAGAGAGGAGAAGGAGAGAGAGGCGGGGTGGAAGGATATCTCAGTGCTTGTAGTTAAGGGCATCATAGGAGGTATAGTGAGACAGGACAGTAGTCCTCCCATAATTCTTATGTTGCATTAGGACCTTGGAAGCGGCTGACAGGTCATCTGGGTCACGAAACATCTATAAAAAATCTCAATTTAAACTTCTAACATTTTACTTAAATAAATAAGATTAATCGTATAAGCACCTTTATTAACACATCTAAATAAATAACTCTCTTAAGACGAAACTGGTCCCGAGTTACGACAACTTAAAGCGTTCTACGTCACAGCTCAGCTGAGGACATAATACCAGTGTTCTGACCAAGGAATATCCATAAGAACAAACACCCCTTCATATTTTCCTTACACCCCTGACACTGGCGCCATCTATTGGACAAGCCAGAAATCAGAAAATGGCCATTGGCGTCCCCGGCATTCATTTAATTGTTTATAATTACACCACTTATCACCTTATTAGCCGTTCGGGCGGTTTGTCTGTTCTTTGTTAGCTTTGTTATTAATTATATTGCCCAGTGTTAGTACAAGAGGAAACTGGAATACCAGTAGGAAACTAGTGATGCTTGGTATTGCGTCCGGACCAAGCATGACTCATACCTATATTCACACATAGAAATGTAAACAAACACGCTCTTAATTATTTAATATTGGTTTCCGGCATTTCTAATTGTATGTTTGAAAAGATATAAAAATTACACTAGAAACAACTATAAAAGGACGGGGGTAACCCGGTGGGTGCTACTGGACAATCAAATTCACAACAAAGTAACAACAACTAAGTAACAAATGAGCGACCTGCCACCAGAATGACTATACCCAATCACCTATGGCCCTCTTCTACATTAATTGCCGAATGGTTCATAGAAAATTAAAACTAAATGTGTTCACAATTGGTAAGCAGACCTGTTATTATCTAAAATAATGTTAAATACATGGATTATCAAAGGCAAATTATTTCAAGGCATTAGCACTTGAGGATGTTAGAAAATGTTAAACATTTATTATAAAAGGTCGATTTAAATACACGCTTATATACGCGCAGTCCGGGGGAAGGTAAAACGCTCAGGGGAACCAATCAGCTACAGACGAGGGGCGGGGCTTATGGGTCAGCTTAGCGTGGAAATACCTAAGTAAACCAAGTGTTGAAATGATAAATTAGCTGCAATTTAACCGTAACTGCTTAAGAGTCAACCACTTATGAACTTTCCTTTTATTGATTTTTAGAAGAAATGAAACACAAGCTCTCTATTATAATTTCCTTTTTTCTCACAAACAACACAAAGGAGGCAACACGTTTATATCTACCGCCACGCCCCGCGCCATCTAACACATGTTGAAGCGCAAAATATGTATACAGACAGCTGACACGCCAGCGATCCAGCGCCATCTCTAGGATAAGCATTCAACTAATACGGATTGAATTACTTCCGTAAGGATAATAGTTCCTTATAATATTCCTTGGGTGGAAACGTGGAGTCTGGGGACGAGAAGGATGTGCTGATGTGCTTGCTTGGTTTCTGGAAGGACGTACACACAGCCAGGTCTTCACTATTATTTATTACCATATTTCATACGTTATACTTAAGTTCCTTAGTGCATCACAAAGGTAGGTAATTGTAGTCTTCTGAATGACCATAATTTATTTTATTGATTATCGTAAACACAGTTATATTCTAAACAAAGGTTACCATTATCTATATAGTGTACTATTTATTAAGTTTAAATTAAGAATGTCTATTAAATACCGGGAACAATTGTGTTGAATTATGTGTGCCTTTAGCTTATTACTGATAAGGCATAAAACCCCTCACACCTGCCCTGTGTGTGCTGCAACCTTGGCACCCTCACACCTGTCCTGTGTGTGCTGTACACACCTTCACCACACCTGTCCTGTGTGCTGTACACACCTCGGTACATTATAGTTTATATCCACACAAGTAGTTCATACACGGAGCCAGCCATTATCCCAACATAATCCAACCTAATATGTAAGAGCGAGATCCTCCTCTTCCCCACATCTCATCTATCCCCCCCTGCCTCTCACCCTCCCTAACTGGTCTTCCACACCTACCCCCTTCAAAACCTCCCCACCACCTTCTAACCAAAAGAAATGTTGATCCTTCGTCATTCAGTTGTGTGCATAAAGGAAAGCCTGACCCAGGGGGAGAATGTTTTTTTATAGTAACAAATAAAAATTTCAACATATTTTTCTGGCGGGTCACGACTGACTCTTCATATTACTATTTTCACTTGTTTATTTCCAAAGACGGGGGGAGATGGTGTTGGAGGAGGAGGTGGTTGTGTTGGAGGTGGAGGAGGTCTGGAGGAGGAGGTGGTATTGGTGGAGGTGGTGGATGGGCAGGTGGGGTGGTGTTGGAGGAGGAAGAGGTGTTGGAAATGGAGGTGGTGTTGGAGGTGTTGGAAGTGGAGGAGGTGTTGGAAGGGAGGAGGTGTTGGAGGTGGAGGTGGTGTTGGAGAAGGTGTTGAGTGTTGGAAGTGGAGGAGGTGGAGGTGGTGTTGGAGTGGAGGAGGTGGAGGTGGTGTTGGAGGAGGAGGTAACCACCTAAGGTACTTGAGGCATCATCACTGCAGGAGAAGATATACACACACAACTCCAGCGGCTTGTGTGTGTGTGTGTGTGTGTGTGTGTGTGTGTGTGTGTGTGTGTGTGTGTGTGTGTATGTGTGTGTGTGCATGTATGTATGTATGTGTGTGTATGTATGTGTGTGTATGTATGTATGTATGTATGTATGTATGTATGTATGTATGTATGTATGTATGTATGTATGTATGTATGTATGTATGTATGTATGTATGTATGTATGTATGTATGTATGTGTGTGTGTGTGTGTGTGTGTGTGTGTGTGTGTGTGTGTGTGTGTGTGTGCATTGTGGTTCTGACCTTAATATATTGGGGTCTTGGCCTTGATATAAGGGACGTGACCCCCAATATGATTGTTTTGGTTGTGTTCCTCTGGACTTTGAAGAGTAAACCTTAGACTTTTGGTGAGAGGTGAGAGTGGGGGGACAGGTGTGAGAGGAGTGAGAGTGGTGGGGGGACATAGAGAGGTGAGAGTGGTGGGGGGGACAGAGAGGTGAGAGTGGAGAGTGGTGGGGGACAGAGAGGTGAGTGGGAGTGGTGGGGGACATGGAGGTGAGGTGTGAGGTGGTGGGGGACATAGGTGAGAGGTGAGAGTGGTGGGGGACAGTAGGAGGTGAGTGTGGAGTGGTGGGGAGACATAGGTGAGAGGTGAGTGTGGAGAGTGGTGGGGGGACATAGGTGAGAGGTGAGAGTGGGGGGGACATGGGGTGAGAGGTGAGGTGAGAGGGTGGGGGGACATAGGTGAGAGTGGGGGGACATGGTGAGAGGTGAGTGAGAGTGGTGGGGGGACATAGGTGAGAGGTGAGTGTGAGAGTGGTGGGGGGACATAGGTGAGAGTAGGTGGGGGGGACATAGGTGAGAGGTGAGTGGAGAGTGGTGGATTAGCGAGATGTGAGTGTGAGAGGTGGTGGGGGGACATAGGTGAGAGGTGAGGGAGAGGTGGGGGACATAGGGTGAGAGGTGGGGGACATAGGTGAGAGGAGTGTGAGAGTGGTGGGGGGACATAGGTGAGAGGTGAGGTGTGAGAGTGGTGGGGACATAGGTGAGATGAGTGTGGAGAGTGGTGGGGGGGACATAGGTGAGGAGGGGGACATAGGTGAGGGAGGTGAGTGTGAGAGGGTGGGGGGGACACAGGTGAGAGGTGAGAGTGTGGGGGACATAGGTGAGGAGGTGAGAGTGGTGGGGACAGGTGAGAGGTGAGTGTGGAGAGTGGTGGGGGGGACATAGGTGAGAGGTGAGAGTGGTGGGGGGACAAGGTGAGAGGTGGAGTGTGAGAGTGGTGGGGGGACTAAGCGAGATGTGAGGTGAGAGTGGTGGAGGGACATAGGTGAGAGGTGAGAGTGGTGGGGGACATAGGTGAGAGTGGTGGGGACATAGGTGTGAGGCGAGTGAGTGGTGGGGGACATAGGTGAGAGGTGAGTGTGAGAGTGGTGGGGACATAGGTGAGAGGTGAGAGTGGTGGGGGACAAAGGTGAGAGGTGAGTGTGAGAGTGGTGGGGGGACATAGGCGAGATGAGGTGAGAGTGGTAGACATAGGTGAGAGGTGAGAGTGGTGGGTATGAGGGTAGGGGGGGACATAGGTGTGGGGAGAGTGGTGGTAGGAACACAGGTGAGAGTGTTGTCTGGTAGTCTAGCACCGCAGCTTGAACATGGTTACGAAAATTGTAAAATATTGAACTATCTTTCTTAACTGACGATCATCAGCCGTACACGTGCGTGAGAGACACTTCACACACCTTAATGTATCATGTGTTACTTGTACCTTATGTATTATGTATTAAACCACCCAGTGTATGATCCGTTAGAACCACTTAATGGAGGGAAGTATGTAACAACCATTAACACAGGTAATAACATTGTTCAGGGTCTGTCTGCCTGCCTGTTAGGT